TGCTGCTGTGTATTTGGAGTCTGTGTGTCTCTCTCTCATCATCATCATCACGGTGGCTAGGAGATGTTGACTACCTCGCCTGGTATGCATGAGGTCGTGGGCTCGATCCCGACCCCGACGCCTGCTGCTGTGTATTTGGAGTCTGCGTCTCTCTCTCTCTCATCATCATCACGGTGGCTAGGAGATGTTGACAACCTCGCCTGGTATACAGGAGGTCGTGGGTTCGATCCCGACCCCGACGCCTGCTGCTGTGTATTTGGAGTCTGCGTGTCTCTCTCTCTATCTCTCCACTCGTGGTCGTGTGCATTTTTCTCCGGGTCCTCCGTTGTTTTTTTCCCCCTCCAAATTTAGAATCAACATCACCACGCGTTTAGAGTATTTGGTTGCTGATGTAACTTTCCACGTGATGATGATGATGAGCCACTTAGTTGAGCTATCATTTGTCATAGCCAGATTGCTTCTGAAAACGAGCTACATAGATCAGTAGTGGGCATTGTCAAGTCGAAAAGTTTAGTTTTAGTAATGGTCTGTGACGGTCCTCCAGGTGGGTCCGTGGCAGAGGTCGCAACCGGGTACCCGATACCCGTACCCTACCCGATACCCGGCTACCCGTACCCGGCCGGGTACGGGTACGGGTAGGCCGTGAGTCACTGGTGAGTGACCGTTTGTCACTCATTTCCCAACGTCTTGTCTCTTCTCACAATTCAAGTTCCTAGAATCAACCCACCCGCGCCTGCAACGTGGCTTCATCCCAGAGGTCGCAATCGGGTACCCGATACCCGTACCCTAACCGATACCCGGCCCGGTATGGGTAGGGTACGGGTACAGCCCGGTACGGGTACGGGTACCCGTTTGCGACCCTGGTGCGGCCGGGTACGGGTACGGGTAAGGAATCAAAACCCGTTTGCTAGCTCTGGTCCGTAGAGTTGATCCGCTGCGTTTAAACAAACAAAAAATTATGTTCCAGCCATATGAATAATGTTGTGTTCCTAATGTTTAGAGAGATAAGTTGAACCAATTGGGGGGGGGGGGGCGGGTCCATTGACCCCAAAAAAAAAGTTTAAGAATCGTTCCTCTCGAGGACCAATTGGAAGTGACGGCACCCACCTGACGTCACGGCAGCCCCCTGTGACGTCACGGCCACCATTTTCCCACCAAATGGGCCACGTGACGTCGGGCGACGATTGCAACGGCACGCACGCGAACGAGAACGATCCGAAAGTCTAAAAAAATAAAGAACAGAAATTGTCTTTAAATTTCCATTTAAAGCTTTCGTGGCTGCAGGGATTCATCTTCTTGGTTCTGTCGGTAAAGTCACGTAGAAGGGAAGTAATACAATAATAAAAATAAAACATAATAAAATAATATAATAAAATAATTCTTGTTTTATAATGTTTTATTTTTATTATTTTATTACTTCCCTTCTACGTGACTTTACCGAAAGAACCAAGAAGAAAAGAACATAAATTGTCATTAAAATATCCCAAAATCAGTCGAAATCCCCAAACTCATCCCATACTGTGTCACTTTATATAAGCTCAATGCCGAGACTGTCTAAAACTATATCCTTGATGCATGTTTGATAAGCAATGCCTCCGAAATTGTTTAAGCAATAACTTAAAGTGGATTAAAATAAAAAAAACTGCAACAAAAAAACATTTTCTCCAATTGTGCTCAAAATGGTTGTGTGTGTGACCCAAGGGTTCATTCAGATATTCCACTTTTCTGAGAATGGTCCGTGGAAGCAGATGGATGTCAAAGAACTACTTCTGAGATCCCTTCACTTGTGAATCCCCATCCACCCTGGCGGCAGACAGAAATGCCCGTCGCGTGGCGAACTGATAAACTCACCACACAGAGACCCATAGACTCACCACACAGAAACCCATAGACTCACCACACAGAGACCCATAGACTCACCACACAGAGACCCATAGACTCACCACACAGAGACCCATAGACTCATCACACAGAGACCCACAGACTCACCACACAGAGACCCACAGACTCACCACACAGAGACCCACAGACTCACCACACAGAGACCCATAGACTCACCACACAGAGACCCATAGACTCACCACACAGAGACCCATAGACTCACCACACAAAGACCCATAGACTCACCACACAGAGACCCATAGACTCACCACACAGAGACCCACAGACTCACCACACAGAGACCCATAGACTCGCTACACGGAGACCCATAGACTCACTACAAAATGGACGAGGCAATTACATATTTTATTTGTGGAACACTATATTTTTCCAGGGGTGTAACTCCGCGACTGGGGTACCAATCAATCCGAAATCAGTGCTACTCCGTTATGTCGAAACGCAGTGAGGGCGATTTGCGCTGAAACTCTTGGACGATCTCGTGCGCCCCAATTGATCGGGGTGGGATCTTGGTGATTTAGAATCCAGGCCCAATCTGCCTTTCCCAGCGCTCTCGAAGGCGAAACCTGGGCGGTCCCAAGAAGAAAACGGGCATTGCTCCGGGGCAGAAATCGATCCTGTCCTTCTTTGCCAAACATTACCATCAATAACTAAACCCGTAAAAACAAATTTTTTCACTCTAAATCCTTTATATGCGTGGCGGCTAGAGTCCTCTCGTCCTCTGGCTTGAGATGGCTGCCACCTATTGGTCAGATGATTGTCTGCCAGTATTAAGCAATTGGTAATTAAATATTTAATTTGTTTTCCCTAAACAGTGTAACATTTTGGAAAAAAAATTTCACGAACATTAATTGTCTCGCACAACGAGTCTGTGTGCAAAATGTCAGCTCGATTGGATCACGGGAAGTGGGTTAAAAAACGACCGAAAGATTTGCACGGTCGTAAGCAAGCACGCAAGCAAGCAAGCAAGCGAACTTAATATAAAAGATTTAAATAAAAAACGACCGAAAGATTTGCACGGTCGTAAGCAAGCAAGCAAGCACGCAAGCACACAAGCAAGCAAGCGTACTTAATTTTAAAGGATTTAAAAATACGTTATCGAAAAAATCTACTTTGAATAGTGCATCGTGCCCAGCCATGGAGTCAACATTTGGGGGGACCAAATCTTACAGGGGTCTGGGCCCCCCCCCAGAAAAATATCTACATTTGAAAACTAATTTCCTGCTATTTGCTGGCTAAAATATTTAAAAATTCACCAACACGTGGGAATGGACTTTTAAATTGATTTATTTACAATAATGTCTTAGAGTGTGATGTATTGCAGTGCTCTGTTTTTTTTCTTTTTTACCTTTTTTCGTTTAATTTTATGTAATGGCAGAGATTAGGGATGTATAAAGTACAACCATAACCACAATCATATTAACATACATCTATGCATTGATTTCTTTGAAGACAAGTCCAGATATTGTGGCCAAGGTTTAGCAAATTGTTATTTACATAGCATAGCAATTTTTTAAATATATTATAATTGCGACCTTGGTTGTCACGCAATGCGCATAGGCAGTGTTACTTTGTACACAGATTGTCGTGTGTGTGGTTTGAAACTGCAGGTCCATTGGCCGAAACGTCGCCTATTATATTCATTAGTATAGGATAATTTGAATAGCATATTACGATTATAATATCACACTATTACAATGTAGTTCGTTTCATGTTTTACGATTCGCATAGTATTATAATAATAATATGTAATTATAACATGAAAGATTTGAAGCTTTCGTGACTGCATGAATTCAAACTGCTACAGCAGTTTTTACCGGTAGGAACCTCCTGGTTACACCAGCCCACAGGGGATTATTGTGTCCGTCCGTCGTGTAGGGAGGGGCTGGGTGGGGAGGGAGGGGCTGGGTGGGGAGGGTGGGGAGGGAGGGGGGGCTGGGTGGAGAGGGGAGGGTGGGGAGGGAGGGGCTGGGTGGGGAATGTGGGGAGGGGCTGGGTGGGGAGGGTGGGGAGGGTGGGGAGGGTGGGGCTGGGTGGGGAGGGTGGGGAGGAGCTGGGTGGGGAGGGGAGAGTGGGGAGGGGCTGGGTGGGGAATGTGGGGAGGGGCTGGGTGGGGAGGGGCTGGGTGGGGAGGGTGGGGCTGGGTGGGGAGGGTGGGGCTGGGTGGGGAGGGAGGGGCTGGGTGGGGAGGGGTGGGGTTGGGTGGGGAGGGGCTGGTCACCCCGTGGTGCCCTTATAAAACTCAACGTTTCACCTACTCACGCCGGCTTGTGCCCGCCCTCACAGTCGGCCATATTTGCGGAATACACCACGCCTTGGCCGTTGACCCTGCAGGCCATTGACCGAGCAACCCGACGTTCCTACCAGCTCCCTCCGCAGGAGGAATGTGTTTCTTGCTGTGGTCGTCCCACCTGATGACGGTTGCTTGTGTTGCGATCGAAACGTCGTGATCTGTTATTATTTTTCTACCTACGTGACTTTACCGAAAGAACCAAAGAGTATAACATTATAATTTAACTTTAAAAATATTTTCGTCATCATTTTATTACCACCTCTATTATGGATTTTTGTTATAATTAATTCTGATTTATTTAAATATTACAAAGTATAATAGCTTACGATTGGCATAGTATTATAAATTAAAATTATATTGGTTTAAATACATTTTTTTTAATTTAAATGGATTTACAAAAGTAATTATTTAAATATTACGTATTTAAATATTTAAAAATATTTAATTATGCTTAGCATTTTAAGTTATAATTATAGATACATATTTTATAATTGTGATTTAATGCATTTAAATAAACAAATTATTCGTTCATTCGTAATTATAAATATTTAAACTATGAAAATGTAAATAAGATATGATTATTATTTAGATTACCCATTGAACTATGATTATTTCAATTAGAAATTACAAGTGAAGTATTATGTATATAATTATAGCTTTTTTATCATTTAAATAACAAGCATAATTTATTTCAATTATAATTAAAATACCGATTCTAATTAAATGATAAAATATTTAAATAATTTATTCTTATTCGGAATCGACCCACTTCCGGCCGCCGACTCCTCCCCTTCCGGCGCGTCACTTGCGGGTTTCGTTTCCCGCCAAAAAAAAACCCGCGCAATGGCCGACGTCTTCTCACGCGCCGTGGCCCACAAAGTGAGCCGGGCGCGATGGCGCCCCGCGACCCCCGGCTCCCTCGCGGCGCCCTCGGAATTCGCCACAGGCAGCTGGGACGCGCAGGTGAGGCAGAGAGACCGCGGCGCCGTCCTCGCGAGGTGTCGCGGCGGTGAAGGCCTAGCGCCGTGTCCGCGGAGCCTACGGTGTCGCCTAGAATTCCTGCGGGGATAGTGCGAGCTGCCCCGGCTGCGATTCTAGGCGAGGCCGTGGCTTCGCGGTGGTTTGCTCGTCACGTTTGAGGGTTGAATCGGTTCGCCGCGGTCGATGGGCAGCGCGCGTTTGGTGGTCGTGGTGGTGGGTGGGTGAGTGGGTGGGTGGGTGGGTGAGTGAGTGGGTGAGTGGTTGAGTGAGTGGGTGAGTGGTTGAGTGAGTGGGTGAGTGGTTGAGTGAGTGGGTGAGTGGTTGAGTGAGTGGGTGAGTGGTTGAGTGAGTGGGTGAGTGGTTGAGTGAGTGGGTGAGTGGTTGAGTGAGTGGGTGAGTGGTTGAGTGAGTGGGTGAGTGGTTGAGTGAGTGGGTGAGTGGTTGAGTGAGTGGGTGAGTGGTTGAGTGAGTGGGTGAGTGGTTGAGTGAGTGGGTGAGTGGTTGAGTGAGTGGGTGAGTGGTTGAGTGAGTGGGTGAGTGGTTGAGTGAGTGGGTGAGTGGTTGAGTGAGTGGGTGAGTGGTTGAGTGAGTGGGTGAGTGGTTGAGTGAGTGGGTGAGTGGTTGAGTGAGTGGGTGAGTGAGTGAGTGGGTGAGTGAGTGAGTGAGTGGGTGACTGAGTGAGTGGGTGACTGAGTGAGTGGGTGACTGAGTGAGTGGGTGACTGAGTGGGTGGGTGAGTTGAGTGGGTGGGTGAGTGGGTGGGTGAGTGGGTGAGTGGGTGAGTGGTGAGTGAGTCGGTGGGGGGGTGAGTGGGTGGGTGGGTGACTGAGTGGGTGGGTGGGTGACTGAGTGGGTGGGTGGGTGACTGAGTGGGTGGGTGGGTGACTGAGTGGGTGGGTGGGTGACTGAGTGGGTGGGTGGGGGACTGGGTGGGTGGGTGACTGGGTGGGTGGGTGACTGAGTGGGTGGGTGACTGAGTGGGTGGGTGACTGGTGGGTGGGTGGGTGGGTGAGTGGGTGGGTGAGTGAGTGGGTGACTGAGTGGGTGGGTGGGTGACTGAGTGGGTAACTGAGTGAGTGGGTGACTGAGTGGGTGAGTGAGTGAGTGGGTGACTGAGTGGGTGAGTGGGTGGGTGACTGAGTGAATGGGTGACTGAGTGAGTGAGTGGGTGTCTAAGTGAGTGACTGAGTGGGTGGGTGAGTGAGTGGGTGAGTAGGTGACTGAGTGAGTGGGTGAGTAGGTGACTGAGAGAGTAGGTGACTGAGTGAGTGGGTGACTGAGTGAGTGGGTGACTGAGTGAGTGGGTGACTGAGTGAGTGGGTGACTGGGTGAGTGGGTGACTGAGTGAGTGGGTGTCTAAGTGAGTGACTGAGTGGGTGGGTGACTGAGTGAGTAGGTGACTGAGTGAGTGGGTGACTGAGTGAGTGGGTGACTGAGTGAGTGGGTGACTGAGTGAGTGGGTGGGTAACTGGGTGGGTGAGTGAGTGACTGAGTGAGTGGGTGACTGAGTGAGTGGGTGGGTGAGTGACTGAGTGGGTGACTGAGTGAGTGGGTGACTGAGTGAGTGGGTGGGTAACTGGGTGGGTCAGTGAGTGAGTGGGTGACTGAGTGAGTGGGTGGGTGACTGGGTGGGTGAGTGAGTGGGTGACTGGGTGAGTGAGTGGGTGACTGAGTGGGTGGGTGGGTGACTGAGTGGGTGGGTGGGTGACTGAGTGGGTGGGTGAGTGAGTGGGCGACTGAGTGAGTGGGTGAGTAGGTGACTGAGTGGGTGGGTGACTGAGTGACTGAGTGGGTGGGTGAGTGAGTGGGCGACTGAGTGAGTGGGTGAGTAGGTGACTGAGTGGGTGGGTGACTGAGTGGGTGGGTGAGTGAGTGGGCGACTGAGTGAGTGGGTGAGTAGGTGACTGAGTGGGTGGGTGGGTGAGTGACTGAGTGGGTGGGTGGGTGAGTGGGTTGGTGACTGAGTGAGTGAGTGGGTGACTGGGTGAGTGAGTGGGTGACTGAGTGAGTGGGTGGGTGAGTGACTGAGTGGGTGGGTGGGTGACTGGGTGGGTGAGTGAGTGGGTGACTGAGTGAGTGGGTGGGTGAGTGCGTGACTGAGTGAGTGGGTGACTGAGTGAGTGGGTGACTGAGTGAGTGGGTGACTGAGTGAGTGAGTGACGCGAGTGAGTGGGTGACTGAGTGAGTGGGTGACTGAGTGGGTGGGTGACTGAGTGAGTGGGTGACTGAGTGAGTGGGTGACTGAGTGAGTGACTGAGTGGGTGGGTGACTGAGTGAGTGGGTGGGTGACTGAGTGGGTGGGTGACTGAGTGAGTGGGTGGGTGACTGGGTGGGTGGGTGACTGGGTGGGTGAGTGAGTGGGTGACTGAGTGAGTGGGTGACTGAGTGAATGGGTGACTGAGTGAATGGGTGACTGAGTGAATGGGTGACTGAGTGAATGGGTGACTGAGTGAATGGGTGACTGAGTGAATGGGTGACTGAGTGAATGGGGAGAGCGTGGGTGAGTGACACTGGCTAGAGAAGAGATGGAGCTGATGCGGTACAGGAGGATGTGAAGTCGAGTGGACTTGCCGATGACCGGTACCAGCGGTGTCAAGATCGGACTATGTGGAGGAGGAGGTTCGTGAAGGACGCTGTTGGGCAGTGCCAGGCTAGGTGCACGTTAAGGCTACTGGCCAGTTTGAGGCAGTCGCCCTCCAGCAACAATGGAGGGCAGAGCAGCGACGCTCACAACAACTATCAGAGCGGCGCGCGTATAAAACGCAGAGTTGGCACAGTAGGGGGCACAGGTGATGCATCTGTCAGTCAACTCATGGAACGTGGGTCTGTCCCGTGACCTCCTGCACCTAGCCTGGCACAGCAGTCAAACCATGGCGCCTGGGTCTGTTCTGTGACCTGCACCTAGCCTGGCACAGCAGTCAAACCAATGGCACCTGCTGGGTCTGCCTCGTGACCTGCACCTAGCCTGGCACAGCAGTCAACCCATGTCACCTGCTGGGTCTGTCCCGTGACCTCCTGGACCTAGCCTGGCACAGCAGTCAAACAATTGCACCTGGGTCTGTCCCGTGACCTCCTCCTGCACCTAGCCTGGCACAGCAGTCAACCCATGGCACCTGGGTCTGTCCCGTGACCTCCTGCACCTAGCTTGGCACAGCAGTCAACCCATTGCACCTGGGTCTGTCCCGTGACCTCCTGCACCTAGCCTGGCACAGCAGTCAACCCATGGCACCTGGGTCTGTCCCGTGACCTCCTGCACCTAGCTTGGCACAGCAGTCAACCCATGGCACCTGGGTCTGTCCCGTGACCTCCTGCCAGCAGCGAGCCTCCGACACTTCACGTGGCCGATGACGTACACACGGACATCACCGGCACGGAATCGGAAGATAAACCGCTGACGTACACGCACGTAAACGCGCGTCCCATTTCTCAGTTTCATGTATTTGGTAGAGCCCTGTGAGCCATTCGGCTCTTGAATCGGGTGCAACAAAACAAAAACATGAACAAGAAAACATCTTAAAGTGAATATGTGACTGAGTGCAAACAGAAAATCCAGGAAAAGACGGAAAAATATTCCACAAAAAGCACCGTACACCAACGCTGTGTGCAAAAATCCCAGTGGGTTGCAAGTCAAACAACAACCACAAGACAACTTAGATTAAGGCCATCAGTCTAACTCTGTACTACAACAAACAAACATGGCCAAACCAATACACTTTTCAAAAATCACCAAAATAAAGCCATTAAAGTCAAACAACAACAACCACAAGACAACTTAGATTAAGGCCATCAGTCTAACTCTGTACTACAACAAACAAACATGGCCAAACGGAAAAAAGCGTTTTCGAAATCACCAAAATAAAGCCATAAAAGCAAATGTAACAGTGATCATAGGAACTGTAACCGAATTTTCACAATAAACGACATAAACAACATGTTCTAGATTTGAAGCTTTCGTGACTGCAAGGATTCATATTCTTAGTTTTTTTCGGTAAAGTCACGTAGGTAAAAAATGAAAATTAATGAAGGTAAAACGTCGTGATTTTTATTTTACTTTTATTCATTTTAATTTTTTACCGACGTGACTTTACCGAAAAAAAACCTAAGAATATTAACAACATGCACCACCAAAACCCTGCAGCCATAGCTGGCTGCCTGAGTCGCTCCACAACAGCAGCAGGAGCATCAGTCGGAGTATCAACATTTTTCAATGCACCTTTAAGATCAGCGCACATCATGCGCGAAAGTGCTAACGGGGAGAGTGTTTTTTAAATCTTTTATATTAAGTTCGCTTGCTTGCTTGCTTGCTTAGGACCGTGCAAATCTTTCGGTCGTTTTTTAACCCACTTCCCGTGATCCAATCGAGCTGACATTTTGCTACACAGACTCGTTGTGCGTGACAATCTCTTTTCGTGAAAATTTTTTTCCAAAATTTCCCACTTTTTAGGTAAAAAAAATTATATTTAATTACCAATTGCTTAATGGTGGCAGGCAATCATCTGACCCATAGTTGGCAGCCATCTCAAGCCAGAGGACGAGAGGACTCTAGCCGCCCGTTTCAAAGACCAATGTGGGCTGGGTTGTGGCCCATTGAACACGCATATAAAGGATTTATAGTGAAAAACTTTGTTTTTACGGGTTATACTTTTTTCCCTCGTGAATTGTTGTGTTTGGTGGTCGTCGTTCACCGGAGCGGTTGTTGACGTCATCTGTGGCTGTCTTGTGCCTTGTCGCTAGCACGAGAACAAGGTTTGCCTCTGGTCGCTGTCGGAGGAGGCAGCCGGGGAGCCCAGAGCTGTGTGCGAGGCCAAGCACAGCGGGGACGTCATGGACATGCAGGCACGGAGACGCACACACGCGCAACGCACGCATGCGCAACGCACACACGCACACACACACATGCGCAACGCACGCACGCACACACACACACATGCGCAACGCACACACGCACACACACACACACATGCGCAACGCACACACGCACACACACACATACACACATGCGCAACGCACACACGCACACACACACACATGCGCAACGCACACACGCACACACACACACATGCGCAACGCACGCACGCACACACACACACATGCGCAACGCACACACGCACACACACACACATACGCGCAACGCACACACGCACACACACACACATGCGCAACGCACACACGCACACACACACACGCGCAACGCACACACGCACACACACACATGCGCAACGCACACACGCACACACACACATGCGCAACGCACGCACGCACACACACACACACGCGCAACGCACGCACGCACACACACACACATGCGCAACGCACACACGCACACACACACACGCGCAACGCACACACGCACACACACACACATGCGCAACGCACACACGCACACACACACACGCGCAACGCACACACGCACACACACACACATGCGCAACGCACACACGCACACACACACACGCGCAACGCACACACGCACACACACACACACGCGCAACGCACACACGCACACACACACACACGCGCAACGCACACACGCACACACACACATGCGCAACGCACACACGCACACACACACACACGCGCAACGCACACACGCACCACAACGCACACACACACACGCGCAACGCACACACGCACACACACACACATGCGCAACGCACACACGCACACACACACATGCGCAACGCACACACGCACACACACACATGCGCAACGCACACACGCACACACGCACACACACACACACGCGCAACGCACACACGCACACACACACACATGCGCAACGCACACACGCACACACACACATGCGCAACGCACACACGCACACACACACACATGCGCAACGCACACACGCACACACACACACATGCGCAACGCACACACGCACACACACACATGCGCAACGCACACACGCACACACACACACGCGCAACGCACGCACACACGCAAAGATCCCCTTTGTGTAGCCTTAACAGGCTGTTGGGGCAAGTCAGAGGTCGCAAACGGATTTTGATTCCTTACCCGTACCCTACCCGAACCCGGCCGGGTATCGTGTAGGGTACGGGTACGGGGACCCGATTGCAACCTCTGGGATGAAGCCATGTTGCAGGCGCGGGTGGGTTGATTCTAGGAACTTGAATTGTGAGAAGAGACAAGACGTTGGGAAATGAGTGACAAACGGTGACTCACCAGTGACTCACGGCCTACCCGTACCCGGCCGCACCAGGGTCGCAAACTCTCCCACTCACTCACCCACCCACTAATTCAGCTACTCACTCACCCACCCACTCACTCACTCACCCACTCACGAACTCACCCACCCACTCACTCACGAACTCACTCACTCACCCACTCACCCACCCACGCACTCACGCACTCACCCACGCACCCACTTACTCACCCACCAACCAGAGGTCGCAAACGGGTTTTGATTCCTTACCCGTACCCGGCCGCACCAGGGTCGCAAATGGCTACCCGTTCCCTACCCGTACCCTACCCGAAATGAGTGACAAACGGTGCCTCACCAGTGACTCACGGCTTACCCGTACCCAGCCGCACCGGGGTCGCAAACGGCTACCCGTACCCGGCCGGGTACGGGTAGCCGGGTATCGGGTAGGGTACGGGTACCCGGTTGTGACTTCTGGGGCAAGTGCTGTTAGCGAGCACCTATGACACGCACATACGCACACACGCATGCAATATCTCACACATTAACCTACACGCACAGGCGCACACATACACGCGCATACATGCACACATGTACATACATCTTGTTGGTTCTTTCGGTAAAGTCACGTAGAAGGGAAGTAATAAAATAATAAAAATAAAACATAATAAAATAATTCTCACGACGTTTCGGCCACAACGCAAGCAGCCGTCCTCAGGTGAAACCAGGTCTGTCGAGGCGACAGCGTCTGAATGAAACAGCACACGTGCTTGGAGCGTCTATTTAAGCTGGGTTGGAAGGGGGGGGGTGGAAAGGGGGGCGCCTTGACAAAAGAATTTGCATATCAAGAGGAATCCAGCATACCCATGGGAAATGCAGGTATGTGATTAGTACTACTTGTGTAAGTGCATTATGCAGGATTAGCAGCATCCAAGGGAGGGGATATGGGAAATGCAGATATGTGATTAGTACTACTTATGTAAGTGCATTATGCAGGATTAGCAGCATCCAAGGGAGGGGATATGGGAAATGCAGGTATGTGATTAGTGCTACTTTGCCCGTGCATTATGCAGGATTAGCAGCATCCAAGGGAGGGGATATGGGAAATGCAGGTATGTGATTAGTGCTACTTATGTAAGTGCATGATGCAGGATTAGCAGCATCCAAGGGAGGGGATATGGGAAATGCAGGTATGTGATTAGTGCTACTTTGCCCGTGCATGATGCAGGATTAGCAGCATCCAAGGGAGGGGATATGGGAAATGCAGGTATGTGATTAGTGCTACTTATGTAAGTGCATTATGCAGGATTAGCAGCATCCAAGGGAGGGGATATGGGAAATGCAGGTATGTGATTAGTGCTACTTTGCCCGTGCATGATGCAGGATTAGCAGCATCACAGGGAGGGGATATGGGAAATGCAGATATGTGATTAGTGCTACTTTGCCCGTGCATGATGCAGGATTAGCAGCATCACAGGGAGGGGATAGGGGTAGCATTAATAACGGGAAGAAGTGTTAATAGTATCTAGCTGCAGTACATAGACACACAACAGCAAAGATCCACAATATAATCTTAACAGACTATTTTGGCAAGTGCTGTTACTGAGTAGCTGCACCTATGAAGGCTGCCGGCTCTGTGGCACACGAGGGGGTGTGTGGCCAGCACCACGCTCACCCGGGCCGCCTTTGTCTCCCCTAGTGGCGATGTTTACACACCACGCCAGGTACTGATTTGAGGCCGAGTCGACCTAGGGGAGGCCCAGGAACCGATTTCAGATAATCGTCACTGGCGGTGTTGGCCGCGAGCGGGAATCGAATTCGGGTTGCCGGGTTCGTAGCGCAGCGTAGCGCTAACCACGACACAACAACCGCCATTCGCCACTAAGTGGCGGTGACGTCACCACGACGCTTGTGCCAGGCCATGTGCACCACAACACTACCACGCGCACACACACATAGGCAGCCATGGCTGCAAGTTTGGTCGTACGTCGTATGTTATGTATATCGTTTATTGTTACATTTGAATCACACTTCCTATGACTGCTGTTGTTACATTGTTTTTGTAGCTTTATTTAGTTGATTCGAAAACACGTGGTGAATCTAAATTGTCTCATTGTTTTTATTGTTGACTTTTCATCGTCACTAAGGTGGCTATGAGATGTTAACTACCTCGCCTGGTCTACAGGAGGTCGTGGGTTTGATCCAGACCCTGACGCTTGCTGCTGCTGTATATTTGGAGTTTGCGTGTCTCTCTCATCGTCACCACGGTGGCTCGGAGATGTTAACTACCTCGCCTGGTATACAGGAGGTCGTGGGTTTGATCCAATCCCACACGCCTGCTGCTGCTGCTGTATATTTGGAGTCTGCGTGTCTCTCTCTCTCATCGTCACTAAGGTGGCTAGGAGATGTTAACTACCTCGCCTGGTGTACAGGAGGTCGTGGGTTCGATCTCAACCCCCTTGACGCCTTTTGTAAATTTGGAGTTTGCGTGTCTCTCTTTCTCATCGTCACTAAGGTGGCTAGATGTTAACTACCTCGCCTGGTGTACAGGAGGTCGTGGGTTTGATCCAGACCCTGACGCTTGCTGCTGCTGCTGTATATTTGGAGTCTGCGTGTCTCTCTCTCTCATCGTCACTAAGGTGGCTAGGAGATGTTAACTACCTCGCCTGGTATACAGGAGGTCGTGGGTTCGATCCAGACCCTGATGCCTGCTGCTGCTGTGTATTTGGAGTTTGCGTGTCTCTCTCTCCTCCGGCTCTTCCGGTTTTAGCCGACGCCAAAACTGTGCCCACACGCGCCCCCCTTCCCCACACGGCCTGTTTACCGATGACCCACACGTATGATAAGTGTTTTTTACCCTTTTATCTGGCAACAAAACTGACACTTTTTTTTTTTTACAAGGAGTCATGTTTGCATAGACCGCAATACCTGCAGCCATAATGCAAACAAAAAGCACAACTCTGATAATGTATGCACTGTCCTTGAAGTTGATTGGTCCACACCCGAGACAGCTTTCCTTAGAGCCTAGTCTCACATGGTGTTGGACCAGATGACGCCAAAAGGCGCACCAACCCCATGTGAGACTAGGCTCTAAGGAAAGCTGTCTCGGGTGTGGACCAATCAACTTCAAGGACAGTGCATACATTATCAAAGTCGTGTTTTTTTTTTGCATTATGACTGCAGGTATTGTGGTCTATACAAACATGACTCCTTGTAAAAAAGGTGTCAGTTTTGTTGCCAGATAGAAGGGTAAAAAAACAATTATCATATTTTTTACTGGCAAAGGAGGTTCCAATGGTGTAAATGCTTCACCCCTAGCTCTCATACTCTGATGGTGCATTGTCTTTGAGTTGTGCGCCTTTTGGCGTCATCTGGTCCAACACCATGTGAGACTAGGCTCTAAGGAAAGCTGTCTCGGGTGTGGACCAATCAACTTCAAGGACAGTGCATACATTATCAGAGTTATGTTCTTTTGTTTGCATTATGACTGCAGGTATTGCGGTCTATGCAAACATGACTCCGTGTCAGTTTTGTTGCCAGATAGAAGGGTAAAAAAACAATTATCATATTTTTTACCGGCAAATGAGGTTCCAATGGGGACCCACACGTACTTAAACGGAGCTGGGAAGTTGTTGAGAACCCGGCTTCTAATGATCCTTATCCCTGCCACCCTCCCCTGCATCACGCTTGACAGTTTTTGGATCGGCAGAGCGTTATAACTGCCTCTTCGGTGGGATCGCTCGCAATCCTGACGATACAGGACAACGACAAGGTGAGTTCTCCCCGGGTGAACGAACGCGGTGGGAGGGTCACTCGAGCTGTTGTAATGGCGGCGTTACGATGCCTTGCTAAGGGCTCTCAGGGGGTTCAGGGTGAGGGGAGATGGGGGCTAGGAGATGTTGACTACCTCGCCTGGTCTACAGGAGGTCGTGCGTTCGATCACGACCCTGACGATGCCTGCTGCTGTATATTCGGAGTTTGCGTCTCTCTCTCATCATCATCACAGTGGCTAGGAGATGTTAACTACCTCGCCGCGTACACAGGAGGTCGTGCGTTCGATCCCGACCCTAACGATGCCTGCTGCTGCTGTATATTTGGAGTTTGCGTCTCTCTCTCATCATCACGGTGGCTAGGAGATGTTGACTACCTCGCCTCGTATACAGGAGGTCGTACGTTCGATCCCGACCCTGACGATGCCTGCTGCTGTATATTTGGAGTTTGCGTCTCTCTCTCATCATCACGGTGGCTAGGAGTTGTTAACTACCTCGCCGCCTATACAGGAGGTCGTGCGTTCGATCCCGAACCTCTGACGCCTGCTGCTGTATATTTGGAGTTTGCGGTGTCTCTCTCTGTCTCTCTCCCCGTGGTCACGTGGTTTATTCATTTTTGCTCCCGGTCCTCCGGTTTTCCCCTCCACATGTAGAATCAACATCGCAAACGCGTTTGGAATATTTGGCCGCTGCTATAAACTTCCAAGTGATCATGATGATGGTGATCAGCCGCTTTGTTGAACTGCCGCCATTCGTGATGGTCGCTTCTGAGAGAGAGCGACATAGCTCGGCGAAAAGTATAGTAAAAAGTAAATTTTCTTGGTTCTTTCGGTAAAGTCACGTAGAAGGGAAATAATAAAATAAAAAAAATTTACACAAAATATTTACATTATTTTATTATGTTTTCTTTTTATTATTTTATTATTTCCCTTCTGCGTGATGACTTTACCGAAAGAACCAAGGAGATGAATCCCTGCTGCAGTCACGAAAGAAGCTTTAAATCGAAAAAGTTCATTGTTTTCAACTTTAATATCGGGAGTCTCGATTGAGACTCAAGGAAAGCGCAAGGCTTGCGTCAGAGTCGGGGAAGCTGAATCGTGAGTATCGATACGAACACGCGATGTCGTCTTGTGCATATGCACGTTTCCAATGTGTCTCATGTGTGTCTCCTGCATCCCCCCCACGAGCCCCCCATCCCCACGAGCCCCCCCCCCCCCACGCCCCCCGTCCTCACCGTGATGGTCGCTTCTGAAAAAGAGCGACATAGCTCGGCGAAAAGTAAAATAAAAAAAGTTAATTTTCTTGGTTCTTTCGGTAAAGTCATCACGTAGAAGGGAAATAATAAAATAATAAAAACCAAACATCATAAAATTATCTTCTTGGTTCTTTCGGTAAAGTCACGTGGAAGGGAAATAATAAAATAATAAAAACCAAACACAAAATATACACATTATTATATTATTTTATTATGTTTTATTTTTATTATTTCATGTCGGGTAAGCCGATTTGTGAGTATCGATTCATCTCCCCCCACGACCCCCTCCCCCTGCGTCCCCCCCCGCCGTGACCCCCCCCCCCGTGACCCCCCCCCGTGACCCCCCCCGTGACCCCCCCCCCCCCCGTGACCCCCTCCCACGTCCCCTCTGCCCCCCACCACCCCCCACCCCGCCAGACCCTACAGGTGCCTCTCTGCGTGCCCGTGCACGATGGCGTTTGCACGTCCGTGTCGGCGCGGGGTCAGCAGGCGGCGTCCGTGGGCGAGGACGGCCGCTTGGCCCTCGTGGACGTCGCCGCGGCAACCGTGCTGCGTCTCTACGGTGATCGTCCCGTCCGGAACGCCGCGGGGGGTCGGGGTGGTCGGGGGTCGGGGGTCAGGGGGTCAGGGGGGGTGGCGGCAATTGCTGAGACGATGCCGACAAGAGTTCGGCTTGAAAGTTGCGTTTGCTATCACCACCATCACCATCATCACCATCACCACCAGGGTTGCGATTTCCGCATGGAAAATGCAGAAGGAGGGTTCAAAATTTCCCGCATTTTTGCTAAAGTCAACCGCAAACGGTGGAATGACTACTCCTATGACCGCGCGCTTTTAACAACACGTTAATGCGTTCTATTGGAAAGGATACATGCAAGGCCCAGCATCACGTAGGGCTTTGAGTTACTGATTGGAATGAATATATGATTTCCGCATTTCCGCACAAGAACCACATACTTTATTCAAATGCGGAGCCGTGATTACGAGCACATGTACATGATGTATCCTTTCCAATAGAACGCATTAACGTGTTGTTAAAAGCGCGCGGTCATAGGAGTTGTCTTTCCACCGTTTGCGGTTGACTTTAGCAAAAATGCGGGAAAATTTGAACCCTCCTTCCGCATTTTCCATGCGGAAATCGCAACCCTGATCACCACCACCATCACCACCATCACCACCATCACCACTATCACCACCACCATTACCACCATCACCACTATCACCACCACCACCATCATCACCATCACCACCATCACCACCATCACCACCATCACCACCACCATTACCACCATCACCACTATCACCACCACCACCATCATCACCACCATCACCACCACCACCATCATCATCACCACCATCACCACCACCATCACCACCACCATCACCACCACCATCACCACCACCATCACCACTATCACCACCACCACCATCACCACTATCACCACCATCACCACCACTATCACCACTATCACCACCATCACCACCACCAATCACCACCACCGTCATCAGGTGGGACAACCGCAGCAAGAAGCAATCGCTCTCTTAGGGCGGTGCTGAAATGCTCCCCCACTGCTTGTGAATTGTAGCGGGTACTTTGTGTGTCTGTGTGTACTGTGTGTGTACTGTGTGTGTACTGTGTGTGTACTGTGTGAGCTGTGTGTGTGTACTGTGTGTGTACTGTGTGAGCTGTGTGTGTGTGGGTATACTGTGTGTACTGTGTGTGTGTATACTGTGTGAATTGTAGCGGGTACTTTGTGTGTCTGTGTGTACTGTGTGTGTACTGTGTGTGTACTGTGTGTGTACTGTGTGAGCTGTGTGTGTGTACTGTGTGTGTACTGTGTGAGCTGTGTGTGTGTGGGTATACTGTGTGTACTGTGTGTGTGTATACTGTGTGAATTGTAGCGGGTACTTTGTGTGTCTGTGTGTACTGTGTGTGTACTGTGTGTGTACTGTGTGAGCTGTGTGTGTGTACTGTGTGTGTACTGTGTGAACTGTGTGTGTGTGTGTATACTGTGTGTACTGTGTGTGTGTTTACTGTGTGAATTGTAGCGGGTACTTTGTGTGTGTGTAAACTGTGTGTGTACCGTGTGTGTACCGTGTGTGTGTGTGTACCGTGTGTGTGTACCGTGTACTCTGTGTACCGTGTGTGTGTACCGTGTACTCTGTGTACCGTGTGTGTGTACCGTGTGTGTGTACCGTGTACTCTGTGTACCGTGTGTGTGTACCGTGTACTCTGTGTACCGTGTGTGTGTGCCGTGTGTGTGTACCGTGTACTCTGTGTACCGTGTGTGTGTACCGTGTGTGTGTACCGTGTACTCTGTGTACCGTGTGTGTGTACCGTGTACTCTGTGTACCGTGTGTGTGTACCGTGTGTGTGTACCGTGTGTGTGTACCGTGTACTCTGTGTACCGTGTGTGTGTGCCGTGTGTGTGTACCGTGTGTGTGTACCGTGTGTGTGTACTGTGCGTACTCTGTGTACCGTGTGTGTGTACCGTGTACTCTGTGTACCGTGTGTGTGTACCGTGTGTGTGTACCGTGTACTCTGTGTACCGTGTGTGTGTACCGTGTGTGTGTACCGTGTGTATGTGTACCGTGTGCGTGTACTCTGTGTGTGTGTACCGTGTGTGTGTACCGTGTATGTGTACCGTGTGTGTGTACAGCGTGTACTCTGTGTAACGTGTGTGCTATATGTACCGTGTGTACCGTGTGTGTGTACTGTGTGTACCGTGTGTGTGTACTATGTGTACCGTGTGTGTGTACTATGTGTACCGTGTGTGTGTGTACCGTGTGTGTGTACCGTGTGTGTGTACCGCGTGTGCGCGCTGCACAGACTGGGCGGACTGCACGTCTCTGCATGCCGTGTGTACTCTGTGTGTGTACCGTGTGTGTGTACTGTGTGTACCGTGTGTGTGTACTGTGTGTACCGTGTGTGTGTACTGTGTGTACCGTGTGTGTGTACTGTGTGTACCGTGTGTGTGTACCGCGTGTGCGCGCTGCACAGACTGGGCGGACTGCACGTCTCTGCATGCCGTGTGTACTATGTGTACTGTGTGTGTCCTGTGTGTGTGTACCGCGTGTGTATGTACCGTGTGTGTGTACCGTGTGTGTACTATGTGTGTGTACTGTGTGTGTGTACCGTGTGTGTGTACCGTGTGTGTCCCGTGTGTGTACCGTGTGTACTCTGTGTGTGTACCGTGTGTGTGTACCGCGTGTGCGCGCTGCACAGACTGGGCGGACTGCACGTCTCTGCATGCCGTGTGTACTCTGTGTGTGTACCGTGTGTGTGTACTGTGTGTACCGTGTGTGTGTACTGTGTGTACCGTGTGTGTGTACTGTGTGTACCGTGTGTGTGTACCGCGTGTGCGCGCTGCACAGACTGGGCGGACTGCACGTCTCTGCATGCCGTGTGTACTCTGTGTGTGTACCGTGTGTGTGTACTGTGTGTACCGTGTGTGTGTACTGTGTGTACCGTGTGTGTGTACCGTGTGTGTGTACCGTGTGTGTGTACCGTGTGTGTGTACCGTGTGTGTGTACCGTGTGTACTCTGTGTGTGTACTGTGTGTGTGTACCGTGTGTGTGTACCGTGTGTGTGTACCGTGTGTGTGTACCGTGTGTACTCTGTGTGTGTACCGTGTGTGTGTACCGTGTGTGTGTACCGCGTGTGTGTACCGCGTGTGCGCGCTGCACAGACTGGGCGGACTGCACGTCTCTGCATGCCGTGTGTACTATGTGTACTGTGTGTGTCCTGTGTGTGTGTACCGCGTGTGTATGTACCGTGTGTGTGTACCGTGTGTGTACTGTGTGTGTGTACCGTGTGTGTGTACCGTGTGTGTGTACTGTGTGTACCGTGTGTGTGTACTGTGTGTACCGTGTGTGTGTACCGCGTGTGCGCGCTGCACAGACTGGGCGGACTGCACGTCTCTGCATGCCGTGTGTACTGTGTGTGTGTACCGTGTGTGTGTACTGTGTGTACCGTGTGTGTGTACTGTGTGTACCGTGTGTGTGTACCGTGTGTACCGTGTGTGTGTACCGCGTGTGCGCGCTGCACAGACTGGGCGGACTGCACGTCTCTGCATGCCGTGCGGCACGCCACCTCATCGGGCGTCCTCGCCGTCAACTCGGTGGGGCAGCTGAAGCACTGGGACCTGCGCAGAGACAACCTCGAGCCCACTGCCATCATGTCCTCGTGAGTGGGTGTGTGGTGTGTGTGTGGGGTGTGTGTGGGGGGTGGGGTGTGTGGTGTGTGTGTGGTGTGTGTGGGGTGTGTGTGGGGGGTGTGTGGTGTGTGTGTGTGAGTGGTGTGTGTGTGGGGTGTGTGTGTGTGTGGTGTGTGTGTGTGGTGTGTGTGGTGTGTGGTGTGTGTGGTGTGTGTGGGGTGTGTGTGGTGTGTGGTGTGTGTGGTGTGTGTGGGGTGTGTGGTGTGTGTGGGGTGTGTGTGGGGTGTGGTGTGTGTGTGTGGTGTGTGTGAGTGTGGGGTGTGTGGTGTGTGTGAGTGGTGTGTGTGTGTAGTGTGTGTGGCGTGTGTGGTGCGTGTGGGGTGTGGGGTGTGTGTGGTGTGTGTGTGGGGGGTGTGTGTGTGTGGTGTGTGTGGTGTGTGTGTGATTGTGGTGTGAGTGTGGTGTGTGTGGTGTGTGTGGTGTGTGTGGTGTGGTGAGTGTGGTGTGGTGTGTGTGTGTGGTGTGTGTGGGGGGTGTGTGTGTGTGGTGTGTGTGGTGTGGTGAGTGTGGTGTGGTGTGTGTGGTGTGGTGAGTGTGGTGTGGTGTGTGTGTGTAGTGTGTGTGGGGGGTGTGTGTGGTGAGTGTGTGGTGAGTGTGGTGTGTGTGAGTGTGGGGTGTGTGTGTGGTGTGTGGTGTGTGTAATGTGTATGTGTGTGGTGTGTGGTGTGTGTAATGTGTATGTGTGTGGTGTGTGTGTGTGGTGTGGTGTGTGGTGTGATTGTGGTGTGATTGTGGTGTGTGTGTGGTGAGTGTGGTGAGTGTGTGGTGTGTGTGGTGAGTGTGATTGTGTGTGATTGTGGTGAGTGTGTGTGTGGTGAGTGTGGTGTGAGTGGTGTGTGTGTTGTGTGTAGGGTGTGTGTGGTGTGTGTGTGGTGTGTGTGAGTGTGGGGTGTGTGTGGTGTATGTGTGGTGAGTGTGGTGTGTGTGTGTGTGGTGTGTGTGTGTTGTGTGTATAATGTGCGTGTGGTGTGTGTGGTGTGTGTGTGTGGTGTGTGTGTGTCGTGTGTGGTGTGAGTGTGGTGTGTGTGTGTGTGGTGTGTGTGTGGTGTGATTGTGGTGTGAGTGTGTGGTGTGTGTGGTGTGTGTGTCAGTGTGTGTGTCAGAGTGTGTGTGTGGTGTGAGTGTGGTGTGTGTGTGGTGTGTGTGTGGTGTGTGTGTGTGTGGTGTGTGTGTGGTGTGTGTGTGGTGTGTGTAGGGTGTGTGTGGGGTGTGTGTGGTGTGTGTGTGGGGGGTGTGTGGTGTGTGTGGTGTGTGTGTGTTGTGTGTAGGGTGTGTGTGGTGTGAGTGTGGTGTGATTGTGGTGTGTGTGTGGTGTGTGTGTAGGGTGTGTGTGGAGTGTGGTGTGTGTGGTGAGTGTGTGGGGGGTGTGTGGTGTGTGTGGTGAGTGTGTGGGGGGTGTGTGGTGTGTGTGTGTTGTGTGTAGGGTGTGTGTGGTGTGTGGTGTGGTGTGTGGTGTGATTGTGTGTGTCAGTGTGTGTGGTGTGATTGTGTGTGATTGTGGTGTGAGTGTGGTGTGTGTGGTGTGTGTGGTGTGTGTGTGGTGTGTGTGGTGTGTGTGTGTGGTGTGATTGTGGTGTGATTGTGGTGTGTGTGGTGTGTGTGTGGTGTGTGTGGAGTGGGTGTGGTGTGTGTGTGGTGTGTGTGGTGTGTGTGTGGTGTGTGGTGTGTGTGTGGTGTGTGTGTGGTGTGTGTGGTGTGTGTGTGTGGTGTGTGTGTGGGGTGTGGGAGTGCGGTGTGTGTGTGGTGTGTGTGTGGTGTGTGTGGGGTGATTGTGGTGTGTGTGTGGTGTGTGTGGTGTGTGTGTGTGTGTGGTGTGAGTGTGGTGTGTGTGGTGTGTGTGTGTTGTGTGTAGGGTGTGTGTGGTGTGTGAGTGTGGTGTGTGTGGTGGGGGGTGTGTGTGGTGTGTGTGTGGTGTGTGTGTGTAGTGTGTGTGTGGTGTGTGTGAGTGTGGTGTGTGTGGTGTGTATGTGTGTGTGGTGTGTGTGTGGTGTGTGTGGTGTGTGTTGTGTGTAGGGTGTGTGTGGTGTGTGGTGTGGTGTGTGGTGTGATTGTGGTGTGAGTGGTGTGTGTGTGTGAGTGTGGTGTGTGTGTGTTGTGTATAGGGTGTGTGTGGTGTGGTGTGTGGTGTGATTGTGGTGTGAGTGGTGTGTGTGTGTGGTGTGTGTGTGTGTCAGTGTGTGTGTCAGAGTGTGTGTGTGGTGTGAGTGTGGTGTGATTGTGGTGTGTGTGTGGTGTGTGTGTGAGTGTGTGTGTGGTGTGTGTGTCAGAGTGTGTGTCAGAGTGTGTGTGTGGTGTGTGTGTGGTGTGATTGTGGTGTGTGTGTGGTGTGTGTGTGTGAGTGTGGTGTGTGTGTTTTGTGTATAGGGTGTGTGTGGTGTGTGGTGTGGTGTGATTGTGGTGTGAGTGGTGTGTGTGTGTGGTGTGTGTGTGGTGTGTGTGTCAGTGTGTGTGTCAGAGTGTGTGTGTGGTGTGAGTGTGGTGTGATTGTGGTGTGTGTGTGTGTGGTGTGTGTGTCAGTGTGTGTGTCAGAGTGTGTGTGTGGTGTGATTGTGGTGTGAGTGTGTGGTGTGTGTGTCAGTGTGTGTGTCAGAGTGTGTGTGTGGTGTGAGTGTGGTGTGTGTGGTGTGTGTGTGTGGTGTGTGTGTGTGGTGTGTATGTGTGTGGTGTGTGAGTGTGGTGTGTGGGGTGATTGTGGTGAGTGTGGTGTGTGTGTGGTGTGTGTGTGGTGTGTGTGTGGTGAGTGTGGTGTGTGTGTGTTGTGTGTAGGGTGTGTGTGTGGTGTGTGTGTGGTGTGTGTGTGTGGTGTGTGTGTGGTGTGTGTGTGTGTGTGTGTGTGGTGTGTGTGTGTGTGTGTGGTGTGTGTGGTGTGTGTGTGTGGTGTGTGTGTGTGTGTGTGTGTGGTGTGTGTGTGTGTGTGTGTGGTGTGAGTGCGTGGTGTGATTGTGGTGTGTGTGTGGTGTGTGTGTGTGTGGTGTGTGTGTGTGTGGTGTGTGTGTGGTGTGTGTGTGGTGTGTGTGTGTGTGGTGTGTGTGGTGTGTGTGTGGTGTGTGTGTGTGGTGTGTGTGTGGTGTGTGTGTGTGTGGTGTGTGTGGTGTGTGTGTGGTGTGTGTGTGTCAGTGTGTGTCAAGGCGGTGGTGCAGAGGTCGCAAACGGGTTTGATTCCTTACCCGTACCCGTACCCGGCCGTACCCTACCCGTACCCGCCCGGGTATCGGGTAGGGTACGGGCATCGGGTACCCGATTGCGACCTCTGGGATGAAGCCATGTTGCAGGCGCGGGTGGGTTGATTCTAGGAACTTGAATTGTGAGAAGAGACAAGACGTTGGGAAATGAGTGACAAACGGTGACTCACCAGTGACTCACGGCCTACCCGTACCCGGCCGCACCAGGGTCGCAAACTCTCCCACTCACTCACCCACCCACTAATTCAGCTACCCACTCACCCACCCACTCACTCACTCACCCACTCACGAACTCACCCACCCACTCACTCACGAACTCACTCACCCACCCACCCACTCACCCACCCACGCACCCACTTACTCACCCACCAACCAGAGGTCGCAAACGGGTTTTGATTCCTTACCCGTACCCGTACCCGGCCGAGTACGGGTAGCCGGGTATCGGGTAGGGTACGGGTATCGTGTACCCGGTTGCGACCTCTGGTGTCTGTGTGTGTGTCAAGGCGGTAGTGTAGCGGTTAGCGCGCTGCGCTATGAACCCGGCGACACGGGTTCGATTCCCGCTCACGGCCAACACCGGTGACGATTATCTGAACCGGTCCCGGGCCTCCCCTAGGTCGACTCAGCCTCAAATGAGTACCTGGTGCGGTGTGTAAACATCGCCACTGGGGAGACAAAGGCGGTCGGGCGTGGTGCTGGCCACCCACTCCCTTGTGTACCGTTCCGGCCTTCATAGGTGCTCGCTAACAGCACTTGCCTCTGCAGTCTGTTAAGGCTATACAGGGGATATTTTGTCAAATGCTATGATACCATCAGTAGGCCTGGGCTCTGGGTTGTTTTTCGTGCTTTCAGAGTCCCTGACCCTCTGCTCACGATCATTAAGGACCTTCATGATGGTGAGCGGGCCCGGGTAAAACTACGTGGCCGGGAGTCGGAGCCTTTCCCTGTACACCTTGGGGTGCGACAGGGATGTCCTCTGGCTCCCACATTATTTAGCATCCATTTCGACCACGTAGTTCGTGAAGCCTTCAATAACTGTGCCGGAGGAATTTCCATCTGGTACAAGACCACTTCACGTGGCCTTGGCGTGCACTTAGCCTGGCACAAGCGCTTTGGTGCCATCGCTGCCACTTAGTGGCGAATGGCGGTTGTTGTTGTGTGTATATCTGTGTGTGTGTGTGTGTGTATCTCCGTGTGTATATCTGCGTGTGTAAATGTGTGTGTGTGTGTATCTCCGTGTGTATCTCTGTGTGTGTGTATCTCTGTGTGTATATCTGTGTGTGTGTATCTCTGTGTGTGTGTATCTCCGTGTGTATATCTGCGTGTGTAAATGTGTGTGTGTGTGTATCTCCGTGTGTATCTCTGTGTGTAAATGTGTGTGTGTGTGTGTATCTCCGTGTGTATATCTGTGTGTATATCTGTGTGTGTGTATCTCCGTGTGTATATCTGTGTGTGTGTATCTCCGTGTGTATATCCGTGTGTATCTCTGTGTGTGTGTATATCTGTGTGTATAACTGCATGTGTAAATGTGTGTGTGTGTGTATCTCTGTGTGTGTATCTGCGTGTGTAAATGTGTGTGTATATCTCCGTGTGTATCTCTGCATGTGTAAATGTGTGTAAACGTGTGTGTATCTCTCCGCGTGTGTAACTGCGTGTGTGTGTGCGCCACCAGGCCAGGTTGCCGCTGGCCCCTGCTGTGCGTGTGTGTGTATATCTGCGTGTGTAAATGTGTGCGTGTGTATCTCTCTGCGTGTGTAACTGCGTGTATATCTGCGTGTGTGTGTGCGCGTGTGTATCTCTGTGTGTGTGTATATCTGTGTGTATCTCTCTGTGTGTGTGTATATCTCCGTGTGTATCTCTGTGTGTGTGTGTAACTGCGTGTGTAACTGCGTGTGTGTGTGTGCCACCAGGCCAGGTTGCCGCTGGCCCCTGCTGTGCGTGTGCGTCTCTGTGTGTGTGTATCTTAGTGTGTGTATCTGCGTGTGTAAATGTGTGCGTGTGTGTGTGTGTATATCTCCGTGTGTATCTCTGTGTGTGTGTGTAACTGCGTGTGTAACTGCGTGTGTGTGTGCGCCACCAAGCCAGGGTGCCGCTGGCCCCTGCTGTGCGTGTGCGTCTCTGTGTGTGTGTATCTTAGTGTGTGTATCTGCGTGTGTAAATGTGTGCGTGTGTGTGTGTGTATATCTCCGTGTGTATCTCTGTGTGTGTGTGTAACTGCGTGTGTAACTGCGTGTGTGTGTGTGTGTATCTCTGCGTGTGTGTATCTCTGTGTGTGTGTGTAACTGCGTGTGTAACTGCGTGTGTGTGTGCGCCACCAAGCCAGGGTGCCGCTGGCCCCTGCTGTGCGTGTGCGTCTCTGTGTGTGTGTATCTTAGTGTGTGTATCTGCGTGTGTAAATGTGTGCGTGTGTGTGTGTGTATATCTCCGTGTGTATCTCTGTGTGTGTGTGTAACTGCGTGTGTAACTGCGTGTGTGTGTGTGTGTATCTCTGCGTGTGTGTATCTCTGCGTGTGTATCTGCGTGTGTAACTGCGTGTGTGTGTGCGCCACCAAGCCAGGGTGCCGCTGGCCCCTGCTGTGCGTGTGCGTCTCTGTGTGTGTGTATCTTAGTGTGTGTATCTGCGTGTGTAAATGTGTGTGTGTGTGTGTATATCTCCGTGTGTATCTCTGTGTGTGTGTGTAACTGCGTGTGTAACTGCGTGTGTGTGTGTGTGTATCTCTGCGTGTGTGTATCTCTGCGTGTGTATCTGCGTGTGTAACTGCGTGTGTGTGTACGCCACCAAGCCAGGGTGCCGCTGGCCCCTGCTGTGCGTGTGCGTCTCTGTGTGTGTGTATCTTAGTGTGTGTATCTGCGTGTGTAAATGTGTGCGTGTGTGTGTGTGTATATCTCCGTGTGTATCTCTGTGTGTGTGTGTAACTGCGTGTGTAACTGCGTGTGTGTGTGTGTGTGTGTATCTCTGCGTGTGTGTATCTCTGCGTGTGTATCTGCGTGTGTAACTGCGTGTGTGTGTGCGCCACCAAGCCAGGGTGCCGCTGGCCCCTGCTGTGCGTGTGTGTGTATATCTGCGTGTGTAAATGTGTGTGTGTGTATCTGCATGTGTATCTCAGTGTGTGTAACTGCGTGTGTGTGTGTATCTCCGTGTGTATCTCTCCGTGTGTGTGTATCTCTGCGTGTGTAACTGCGTGTGTGTGTGTGTATCTCTGCGTGTGTAACTGCGTGTGTGTGTGTGTATCTCTGCGTGTGTAACTGCGTGTGTATCTCTCTGTGTGTGTAACTGTGTGTGTGTGTGCGCCACCAGGCCAGGTTGCTGTGTGTGTGTGTATATCTCCGTGTGTATCTCTCCGCGTGTGTATCTGCGTGTGTGTGTGTATCTGCGTGTGTAACTGCGTGTGTGTGTGTGTATCTCTGTGTGTGTGTATATCTGTGTGTGTAACTGCGTGTGTGTGTGTGTGTGTATCTCCGTGTGTATCTCTCCGCGTGTGTAACTGTGTGTGTAACTGTGTGTGTGTGTGCGCCACCAGGCCAGGTTGCCGCTGGCCCCTGCTGTGCGTGTGCGTGCACCCCGGCCAGCCGCACGTGGTGGCCGTGGGCGGCGAGGACGGCACGCTGCAGCTGTGGGACGTGCGGCAGCAGCAGGCGCCCACCGCCCTCCTGCAGGGACACACGGCCGAGAGTACGACGCTTCGCACACTGCTGCTACACTCCGCACGCTGCTGCTACACTCCGCACGCAGCGCTCACTCCGCACGCTGCTGCTACACTCCGCACGCAGCGCTCACTCCGCACGCTGCTGCTACACTCCGCACGCTGCTGCTACACTCCGCACGCTGCTACTACGCTCTGCACGCTGCTGCTACACTCCGCACGCTGCTGCTACACTCTGCACGCTGCTACTACACTCTGCACGCTGCTGCTACACTCCGCACGCTGCTACTACGCTCTGCACGCTGCTGCTACACTCTGCACGCTGCTGCTACACTCTGCACGCTGCTGCTACGCTCTGCACGCTGCTGCTACACTCCGCACGCTGCTGCTACACTCCGCACGCTGCTGCTACGCTCTGCACGCTGCTGCTACACTCTGCACGCTGCTACACTCCGCACGCAGCTGCTACACGCCGCACGCAGCTCACTCGGCCATCGCAAATGATAGCGGCTGAATCAAGTGGCCGATATCATCGTCGTCATCATCGTCTTCATCATCATCGTCGTCATTGTCGTCGTAATCATCGTCATCATCATCGTCATCATCATCGTCATCATCGTGATGCGTAAATTTATAGCAGCACCCAAGTACTCTGAACGTCTTCTTGGTTCTTTCGGTAAAGTCACGTAGAAGGGAAATAATAAAATAATTAAAATTTGACATAATAAAATTATCTTCTTGTTCTAGATTTGAGGCTTTCGTGACTGCAAGGATTCATATTCTTAGGTTTAATCGGTAAAGTCACGTAGGTAAAACATCAAAATTAATAAAAGTAAAATAAAATTTAAATAAAAATCACGACGTTTCGGAGGCAACACAAGCTTCCGTCTTCAGGTGGAACCGTCACAGCCACGACAGGGTCGCTGCGGCGGTGGCAGCAGCTCAGAGGTCGCAAACGGGTTTTGATTCCTTACCCGTACCCGGCCGCACCAGGGTCGCAAACGGGTACCCGTACCCTACCCGATACCCGGCTACCCGTACCCGGCCGGGTATCGGGTAGGATATGGGTACGCGTACCCGATTGCGACCTCTGGGATGAAGCCATGTTGCAGGCGCGGGTGGGTTGATTCTAGGAACTTGAATTGTGAGAAGAGACAAGACGTTGGGAAATGAGTGACAAACGGTGACTCACCAGTGACTCACGGCCTACCCGTACCCGGCCGCACCAGGGTCGCAAACTCTCCCACTCACTCACTCACTCACCCACCCACTAATTCAGCTACTCACTCACCCACCCACCCACTCACTCACGAACTCACTCACCCACTCACCCACTCACTCACCCACTCACCCACTCACTCACCCACTCACCCACTCACTCACCCACTCACTCACTCACCCACTCACCCACTCATCCACTCACGAACTCACTCACTCACCCACTCACTCACCCACTCACTCACCCACTCACCCACTCATCCACTCACCCACTCATCCACTCACTCACCCACTCATCCACTCACCAACTCACTCACCCACCCACCCACGCACTCACCCACTCACCCACGCACCCACTTACTTACCCACCAACCAGAGGTCCCGTACCCGGCCGGGTACGGGTAGCCGGGTATCGGGTAGGGCACGGGTATCGGGTACCCGTTTGCGACCTCTGCAGCAGCTTGTTGAGTAGTGGTGGTACGCATCTCCCTTGACCCTCCCCCCCCCCCGCTTGTGTTTATTTTGAGTGATTTTCCTACCTTTGCACTCGCGTCGTTCGCTCTTGCGACCTCCTGACCCCGCGGGGCAGCCCGATTAGCACGGCTGGCTAGGTACGGCGCGAAAGAAGTTTGACACGCGTACACAGACGCCTGTAATTGTTCGTAATCAACGTTTTTGGGTTTAGATCGCGTTATTTATAAATGTCTCGTAACCCTCCACCACCCGAAACGTTGACAAAAGACAAAATAGTTCACTGCTTTAGCCCCACCGGTGTGTTGAAGAGTGAAACCACAACATGGACAGTTTTTTTTGATTGGTACGACGTTTCGCTGGTAATTGCATCCAGCATCATCGGGCAATTCGCCAGAATGGTGAAGAGGCTCTGCTGTGTCTCCCGATCTTATATATATAGAGCAGCAGCAGCAGCAGGGTGACATCATCATTTAACTAATTCAGGTTCAGTGATTTGAGGCAGAGGGGGGGTATTGTAATTATATAGTAGATTAGTAATCAAATTTCGATTTAAAGCTTTCGTGACTGCAGGGATTCATCTTGTTGGTTCTTTCAGTAAAAAAAGTGTCACGTTGACAAAAGACAAAATAGTTCACTGCTTTAGCCCCCCGGTGTGTTGAAGAGTGAAACCACAACATGGACAATGTTTTAGTAGCGCTGTGACGTTTCGCTGGTAATTGCATCCAGCATCATCGGGCAATTCGCCAGAATGGTGAAGGGGTTATGCTGTCTCCCGTTCTTATATAGAGCAGCAGCAGCAGGGTGACATACTCATCAACTCATCAGGTGCAAAGATTTGAGGCGGAAAGGGAGGGGGGCGATTATTGTAATTATATACTAGATCAGTAATCAGGCAGTTGTTTCTATGCAAGTTGTAGATTAGCAATCAGTTGCAATGTGTGTTATTGTAATTATTCTACTTTAGTGATCAGTCAGCGTTTGTTTCCCCTATAAGGAATTGTAATGTATCTTATTTAATAATCCTGTAATTGTACGACAAATAAATTAATTCTCGATTGAAAGCTTCTTTCGTGACTGCAGGGATTCATCTTCTTGGTTCTTTCGGTAAAGTCACGTAGAAGGGAAGTAATAAAATAATAAAAATAAAACATAAAAAAATAAGTCGGCTGCTTGCGTTGTAGCCGAAACGTCGTGAGAATGATTTTATTAAATCCTTTATATTAAGTTCGCTTGCTTTCTTAGGACCGTGCAAATCTTTCGGTCGTTTTTTAACCCACTTCCCGTGATCCAATCGAGCTGACATTTTCCACACAGACTCGTTGTGCGAGACAATTAATGTTCGTGAAACAAAAATTTCCAAAATTTTACACTTTTTAGGACAAAAAATATTATATTTAATTACCAATTGCTTAATGGTGCAATGCAATCATCTGACCCATAGGTGGCAGCCATCTCAAGCCAGAGGACGAGAGGACTCTAGCCGCCACGCATATAAAGGATTTATAGTGAAAAACTTTGTTTTTACTGGTTATACTTATTATGTTTTATTTTTATTATTTTATTACTTCCCTTCTACGTGACTTTACCGAAAGAACCAAGAAAATAAAATAATTTGAGCTTTGTAGCTCATCGGATTGTGTGTGTGCGGGCGCGCGGTGCGTGCGTGCGCGTGCAGTGTGGGAGGTGCAGTTCCACCCGACGGCACCCGAGAACCTCTTCACGTGCTCGCAGGACGGCTCCCTGTGGCACTGGAGGGTCAACGATGGCTTCTCGCGGCCAGGTGAGGCAAGCCGCACAGACGGGAGCCTTGAAAAGGCTGCCGGGGGCAAATGCTGTTAGGTGTGTAGTGAACATCGCCACTGGGGAGACAAAGGCGGCCGGGCGTGATGCTGGCCACCCCCACCCCCTCGTGTGCCCTTTCGGCTGTCGTAGGTGCTCGCTAACAGCACTTGCCCCTACAGTCAGATAAGGCTATACGGGGGATCTTTATCTTTGTTGTGTGTGTGTAGGTGCCGTAGGTGTGTGTGTGTGTAGGTGTGTGTGTGTGTAGGTGTGTGTGTGTAGGTGTGTGTGTGTAGGTGTGTGTGTGTAGGTGTGTGTGTGTAGGTGTGTGTGTGTGTAGGTGTCGTGTGTGTGTGTAGGTGTCGTGTGTGTGTGTGTGTGTGTAGGTGTGTGTGTAGGTGTGTGTGTGTGTAGGTGTGTGTGTGTAGGTGTGTGTGTGTGTAGGTGTCGTGTGTGTGTGTAGGTGTGTGTGTGTAGGTGTGTGTGTAGGTGTGTGTGTAGGTGTCGTGTGTGTGTGTGTAGGTGTGTGTGTAGGTGTGTGTGTAGGTGTCGTGTGTGTAGAGGTGTGTGTGTGTAGGTCTTCACAGGTGCTCGCTAACAGCACTTGCCCCTACAGTCCGTTAAGGCTACACGGGGGGGGATCTTTGTCTTCGTGTGTCGGTGCGGTAGTGTGTAGGTGTGTGTGTAGGTGTGTGTGTGTGTGTAGGTGTGTGTGTGTAGGTGTCGTGTGTGTGTGTAGGTGTCGTGTGTGTGTGTAGGTGTGTGTGTGTGTAGGTGTGTGTGTGTAGGTGTGTGTGTGTAGGTGTCGTGTGTGTGTGTAGGTGTCGTGTGTGTGTGTGTGTAGGTGTGTGTGTAGGTGTGTGTAGGTGTGTGTGTGTGTTGGTGTGTGTGTGTGTAGGTGTGTGTGTGTAGGTGTGTGTGTGTGTAGGTGTGTGTGTGTAGGTGTGTGTGTGTAGGTGTCGTGTGTGTGTGTAGGTGTCGTGTGTGTGTGTGTAGGTGTCGTGTGTGTGTGTGTAGGTGTCGTGTGTGTGTGTGTAGGTGTCGTGTGTGTGTGTAGGTGTCGTGTGTGTGTGTGTGTGTAGGTGTCGTAGGGGGGTGTGTAGGTGTGTGTATGTTTCGGTCTTCATAGGTGCTCGCTAACAGCACTTGCCCCTACAGTCTGTTAATGCTACACGGGGGATCTTTATCTTTGTCGTGTGTGTAGGTGTATGTGTGTGTGTAGGTGTGTGTGTGTGTAGGTGTGTGTGTAGGTGTCGTGTGTGTGTGTGTAGGTGTGTGTGTGTAGAGGTGTGTGTGTGTAGGTGTCGTGTGTGTGTGTAGGTCTTCACAGGTGCTCGCTAACAGCACTTGCCCCTACAGTCCGTTAAGGCTACACGGGGGGGGATCTTTGTCTTCGTGTGTCGGTGCGGTAGCCATGAGGCCGGGTACCGTTCCCGCTCCTCCCGGCACGATGGCGGCCGAGACGACTCCGTCCGGACGTGGAGGGGGAGGAGGAGGAGGTGGAGGAGGAGGAGGAGGCTGCGGCTGGCTGGGAGACCCCTCCAAGTCGGGGCTGCTCATCGACAGCCTCCTGCCCCCCGTGGGTGTCCCCCTCAACGGGCTGGACGCGGCGGGGACGCGGCTCGTGTGCGGCGGAGACACCGAGAAGGTTTACGTGTGCACCGGCATCGCCGCGCACTGACCGGCGGCGGTGGGGGGGGGCGGGGGAGGTCTTGAGTCTGCGTCGTTTGCAAATGTCTGCAACTTCTGCAACATCTGCTTCGTGTGCAACGTCTGCAACGTCTGCAAATGTCTGCGTCGTCTGCGTCATTGTATTCGGTGTCTGCAACATCTACAACATCTGCGTCATCTACAACATCTGCGTCGTCTTCGCTTGCGACATTGTATTCGGTGTCTGCGTCGTCTCCCTCGTTTGCAACTTTTGCATCGTCTGCAACTTCTGCAAGTTCGGGGTCTGCAACGTCTGCGTCATCTGCAACGTCTGCATCGTCTGCGCTTGCGTCATCGTCTTCGGCGTGTGTGGTGTCTGAGTCTGCAACGTCTGCGTCGTCTGCATCGTCTGCGTCATTGTATTCGGTGTCTGCAACATCTGCGTCGTCTACAAATGTCTGCAACGCCTGCGTCGTCTGCATCATTGTATTCGGTGTCTGCAACATCTGCGTCGTCTACAAATGTCTGCAACGCCTGCGTCGTCTGCATCATTGTATTCGGTGTCTGCAACATCTGCGTCGTCTACAAATGTCTGCAACGCCTGCGTCGTCTGCATCATTGTATTCGGTGTCTGCAACATCTGCGTCGTCTACAAATGTCTGCAACGTCTGCGTCGTCTTCGCTTGCGTCATTGTATTCGGTGTCTGCGTCGTTTGCAACTTTTGCGTCGTCTGCGTTGTCGGCAAATTTCTGCGTCGTCTGCGTCGTCTGCAACGTAGCGGTGCGGTGAAATCATCGCCACTGACCTCTCTTGTGCCGTGCCGGCCTTCATAGGCGCTCGCTAAGAGCACTTGCCCCAACAGTCTGTTACAGGCTATACAGGGGATCTTTGTCTTTGGGGCGCGCGGTGGCGAGATATTCACTCCCTCATCATCACGGTGGCTAGGAGATGTTAACAACCTCGCCTGGTGTACAGGAGGTCGTGGGTTCCGATCCCGACCCTGACGACGCCTGTTCTCATATTTGGAGTCTGCGTCTCTCTCTCGCTCTCATCATCATCACGGTGGCTAGGAGATGTTAACAACCTCGCCTGGTGTACAGGAGGTCGTGGGTTCCGATCCCGACCCTGACGACGCCTGTTCTCATATTTGGAGTCTGCGTCTCTCTCGCTCATCATCATCACGGTGGCTAGGAGATGTTAACTCCCTCGCCTGGTCTATAGGATGTCGTGGGTGCGACCCCGATATAGTGTGACGCCTGCTGCTGTATATTTGGAGTCTGCGTCTCTCTCGCTCTCATCATCATCACGGTGGCTAGGAGATGTTAACAACCTCGCCCGGTCTACAGGATGTCGTGGGTGCGACCCCGATATAGTGTGACGCCTGCTGCTGTATATTTGGAGTTTGCGTGTCTCTCTCTTTCCGTTGGTCGCGTGGATTTTTCTCCGGGTAACCTCCTGGTTTTTCACATTCAAAATCGACATCGCACGCTTAAGAGCATTTGGCCGCAATACATTTCTAAGCTGATGAAGCCACTTGGTTGAGCTTTCATCATTTGTGGTCGTCGCTTCTGAAAAAGATCTGCACGGCACGGTGCTAGTGTGGGCCCTTGCACCTGGTAACGATGAGAATAGTTGATCTTGGTTCTTTTGGTAAAGTCACCATGTAGAAGGGAAATAATAAAATAATAAAAATAAAACATCATAAAATACAATTCTCACAAAGGGACATAAAATAATAAAAATAAAACACAATTCTCACAAAGGGAAATAATAAAATTAAAAAAATAAAACATAATAAAATACAATTCTCACAAAGGGAAATAATAAAATATTAAAAATAAAACAATAAAACAATTCTCACGACGTTTCGGCCACAACGCAAGCAGCCGTCCTCAGGTGAAGAACAGGTCTGTCGGGAAGACAGCGTCTGACCTGTTCTTCACCTGAGGACGGCTGCTTGCGTTGTGGCCGAAACGTCGTGAGAATTGTATTTTATTATGTTTTATTTTTATTATTTTATTACTTCCATTCTACGTAACTTTACCGAAAGAACCAAGAAGATGAATCCCTGCAGTCACGAAAGCTTTAAATCGGAAAATAGTTTGAGTTTAAATATCCGCACGCTGAAACGGTCACGCGCATCGGAGGAGATTTTGCCCCCTTCCCAGAGGTCGCAACCGGGTACCCGATACCCGTACCCTACCCGATACCCGGCTACCCGTACCCGGCCGGGTACGGGTACCCGTTTGCGACCCTGGTGCGGCCGGGTACGGGTACGGGTAGGCCGTGAGTCACTGGTGAGTCACCGTTTGTCACTCATTTCGGGTAGGGTACGGGTAGGGAACGGGTACCCGTTTGCGACCCCGGTGCGGCTGGGTACGGGTAGGCCGTGAGTCACTGGTGAGTCACCGTTTGTCACTCATTTCGGGTAGGGTACGGGTAGGGTACGGGTACCCGTTTGCGACCCTGGTGCGGCCGGGTACGGGTACGGGTAGGCCGTGAGTCACTGGTGAGTCACCGTTTGTCACTCATTTCGGGTAGGGTACGGGTAGGGAACGGGTACCCGTACCCGGCCGGGCACGGGTAGCCATTTGCGACCCTGGTGCGGCCGGGTACGGGTAAGGAATCAAAACCCGTTTGCGACCTCTGCCCCTTCCTGCGTTTTAGCCGAAGGGGGCGGTTGAAAGTGGTGGGGGGGCAGACGTTCGATGTCCTCGGTACAATAAACGCCGTTCCCTCGCTCAGGTTTTCGCGCGTTTGATTTTCGTTACGCGAGTTAAGTCCATGCGGTGTGCGTTGATCGGCACCACGTCCGGAAGTAAGGAAAATGTTCCGCAGCAGAAGAGCTGATGATGATGATGATGATGCAGGCAGGCAGGCAGTGATGAGAAGGAAGCCGGCCACTATTTGGACACGCATGAAATGTCAAAGTTTGTCGTTTGGCGGAGAAATGGAATCGACCGCGGAGAAGAGGAAGACTGCACGTAGAATTGGCGGCGGTGGAGAGAGAGATGTGGGCCATTGATTGAGAGGATTGGCAGAGAGAGAGAGGAAAGTTGAAACAACAAATGACGGCGTGTAAAGTTGGACCCCGACGTTGATATCTGCCCCGTGGGTCGTGATGGTGACGATGGAGCAAGTCACCAAATCGAAATCAAGTAGACAAATTTCGCAAGTATTTGAATGTTCAACACAAACGCAAGCTTCGGGGCAAGGCAGCGAAACATGACGAAGAGGTTACTCGTAGTTTTTTCGGTAATGTCACCATGTAGGTAAAAAATGATATTCAAATTAATAAAAACAAGTATAACCCGTAAAAACCAAGTTTTTCACTATAAATCCTTTATATGCGTGGCGGCTAGAGTCCTCTCGTCCTCTGGCTTGAGATGGCTGCCACCTATGGGTCAGATGATTACATTGCACCATTAAGCAATTGGTAATTAAATAAAAAAAATTGCCCTAAAAAGTGTAAAATTTAGGGGAAAAATTTCACAAACATTAATTGTCACGCACAACGAGTCTGTGTGGAAAATGTCAGCTCGATTGGATCACGGGAAGTGGGTTAAAAAACGACCGAAAGATTTGCACGGTCCTAAGCAAGCAAGTGAACTTAATATAAAGGATTTAATAAAATAATAAAAATCACGACGTTTCGGAGGCAACACAAGTCTCCGTCATCAGGTGGGACCGTCACAGCCAGATTTGCTGACGGAGACTTGTGTTGCCTCCGAAACATGATTTTTAAATCCTTTATATTAAGTTCGCTTGCTTGCGCGCTTACAACCGTGCAAATCTTCCGGTCGTTTTTTAACCCACTTCCCGTGATCCAATCGAGCTGACATTTTGCACACAGACTCGTTGTGCGTGACAATTTATTTTCGTGAAAAATTTTTTTCATAAATTTTCCACTTTTTAGGAATTTTTTTTTCATATTTAATTTAAAATACCAATGTGATCAAAATGAAACTCTTACTCAAGAAAAACAGAAATGAATAATAAAATAAAACCGATGTCACGCATATAAAGGATTTTATAGTGAAAAACTTTGTTTTTACGGGTTACTTTTATATTATTTTATTTTTATTAATTTCATTTTTTACGCACGTGACTTTGCCGAAAAATCTAAGAGTATGAATCCTTGCAGTCACGAAAGCTTCAAATCTCGAATGACGAAGAGGCCCCGGGCCGCAGCAAGATGCCACGCAGGAGGGAGTCCCAGGATGGAATAGCGCGTTAACCATATTCTTAGGTTTTTTCGGTAAAGTCACCATGTGGGTAAAAACATTAAAATTAATAAAAGTAAAATAAAATCACGACGTTTCGGAAGCAACACAAGTCTCCGTCTTCAGGTGGAACCGTCACAGCCACGACAGCTGTATCAAGTAAATGAGAGATTGCAAGAGCTACCACTCCGTATATATAATGGTTGAGGGGGGAAGGGCCAGGAACGGCACACTTTTTATTAATATGGTAAGGTGAGGCTTAAGACTAAGAATAGACTGCATAACAAAGGACTGAGCCTTTGTTATCAGTCTTGGCAGCCTTCGGGAGTTACACCACACAGAGCTATGATGCAATTGTACGTACTCACTTCCTGGAACTCGCAAATACCCTCCCTGGCGTCGGTGACATCCAAAGTCAATCCAAAGAAAATGTACGCTCCGATGAACCCGGATTTGAACCCAGGTATCAAACTTAGCAGGCTACACCACTAAAGCTATACAGCTGCTGCCATACATCCCCAGTGCCTGGAACTCTTGTGTTTAGTTTGTTGTCCTACCCCCGCACCTCTACAAACTGCGGTTGGCTACGTACAATGCGAAAGAAGCTCAACATACGTATGTAATGAGAGTAGAGTCAACTTGCGGTGAGCGTGGACTAGTGGCCACGGGAGGTAATTGCAGGGGAGTCAGCTTGCAGTACGAGTGGACTGCTGGCTCCGGGAATGATCGAGGGATCGGAGCGTGACCAGGTGACGGAAGAGGACGGGAGAGTTTGCTGGTTAAACGAGCATCTTGAATCGGCGAGAACGTTCGGGAATGGGGGCGTAGCCTCGGGCCGTACATGAGGGGGAGATGCGAGGGAGACTCGGGGCTGTTGCGGTGGGGGTCTCCGCCTGTTCGAGTGTGAGCCAGAGGTCGCAACCGGGTACCCGATGCCCGGCTACCCGTACCCGGCCGGGTACGGGTAGCCGCTTGCGACCCTGGTGCGGCCTGGGTACGGGTAGGCCGTGAGTCACTGGTGAGTAACTGTTTCTCACTCATTTCCCAACGTCTTGTCTCTTCTCACAATTCAAGTTCCTAGAATCAACCCACCCGCGCCTGCAACATGGCTTCACCCCAGAGGTCGCAATCGGGTACCCGATACCCGTACCCTACCCGTACCCGGCTGGGTACGGGTAGGGTACGGGTATCGGGTACCGGTTTGCGACCCTGGTGCGGCCGGGTACGGTTAAGGAATCAAAACCCGTTTGCGACCTCTGGTGTGAGCACGTGGCACCTTAATGAAAGAAACCATCTCGAGGCAAGTGCGTCCAAGTCGTCACTGCACGTACATACACTACAGACGACACACTACATACTCTACACTACAACTGCTATACACTACGCTATACACTACTATATGGACACGACACACTACTACACAACACATCCCTGCGGAGGGAGCTGGTAGGAACGTCGGGTTGCTCGGTCAATGGCCTGCAGGGTCAACGGCGGCGTGGGGTATTCCGCAAATATGGGCGACTGTGAGGGCGGGCACAAGCCGGCGTGAGTAGGTTAAACGTTGAGTTTTATAAGGGCACCACGGGGTGACCAGCCCCTCCCCACCCAGCCCCACCCCTCCCACCCCCCACCCAGCCCCATCCTCCCCACCCAGCCCCACCCAGCCCCTCCCCACCCTCCCCACCCAGCCCCTCCCCACCCTCCCCTCTCCACCCAGCCCCACCCCTCCCATTTTTGGATGCACGACGGACGGACACAATAATCCCCTGTGGGCTGGTGTAACCAGGAGGTTCCTACCAGTAACATCACTATACACTCTCCTCTATAAGACTGTAGTGACATGATGTCACTACCGTGTCGGCTCGGTACGGGGGCTGTAGGCGGGTGTCACAGGGGTCGTGGCACTACGCGTGAACCCAACAGGACACGTGACCGGATAAAGGGGGGGGCAGGGGCCCCAGGGGGTAGCTTGGGACTCGGACGTGCGCCTCAATCGAACCCATTACACTACTATGCACTAAACTATACACTACACTACTATACACTACACTACTATACACTACACTATACACTACTATACACTACACCACTACTATGCACTGCACTATACACTACACTACTATACACTACACTACTATACACTACACCACTACTATGCACTACACTATACACTACACTACTATACACTACACTATACACTACACCACTACTATGCACTACACTATACACTACACTACTATACACTACACTACTATACACTACACTATACACTACACTATACACTACACCACTACTATGCACTACACTATACACTACACTACTATACACTACACTATACACTACACTATACACTACACCACTACTATGCACTACACTATACACTACACTACTATACACTACACTATACACTACACTATACACTACACCACTACTATGCACTACACTATACACTACACCACTACTATGCACTACACTATACACTACACTGCTACTATGCACTACACTATACACTACACCACTACTATGCACTACACTATACACTACACCACTACTATGCACTACACTATACACTACACCACTACTATGCACTACACTATACACTACACTACTATGCAC